CAGTGGTGTAGTGGTTAAGTTCGCATGCTCTGCTTTGGCAACCCCGGGGTTCATGGGCTAGGATCCCGGGCGCGGACCTACGCACCGCTCATCAAGCCATGCTGTGGTGGCGTCCTACATGAAAAGTAGAGGAAGATGGGCACAGACATTAGCTCAGGGCCAATATTCCTCACCAAAAAACAAAAACAAAAAAAGAATACATTCAAGGAAAAGAGAATCCCATTTTTTACAAACTGTTCCAGAGAGATGGTCCCCACCCATTTTATGAGACTGTATAATTTAGATTATACAGTCAAAATCAAAGACATTATTTTTTAAAAATTTACAGGAAATATTAATGAACAGATAAAAGTTCTAAAGAAAATATTAGCAAACCAAATCTAACAATGTATTTTAAAATGCAGGACCAGGCTTGGTTTATTTCAAGAATGCAAGAATAAATTGACTTTTCAAAATCTGTAAATTTTATTCACCACTTTAATACATTGAAGGAGAAAAACTATATGAACATCTTAATGGATGAAAAAAAAATTTGATAAAATTTAACATCTACTCATGGTTTAAAAAAAATACTTAGCAAACTAGGGCTAGAAATGTCACATTTATTGATGAAACATTAGAAGCATTTAATTTGCAATCAGGATGGTTTTAAGGATGCTCACCATCACTGTTTCTCTTTGACATTGTATTGAGGTTTTAGCCAGTGCAGATAAGACTTTTTTAATAGAAAAATAAATAAATAAAAGGTATAAGCGTTTAATAGGAGGAAGCAACTTAGAATTACTGTCAGATATAATTGTGTAAAAATAAATTCCATCTCTATATATTGGTAATAAACAGTTAGAAAATGTAATTTTTTAAAAAAATATCATCTACAGTAGCAACAACAATTCAAAAAAGGAGGAGGATACCTAGGAATAAATCTAACACAATCTGTGCAAGATTTCTATGGAAAAAATTCTGAAAGACTGAAAGATTAGAAAAGACCTAAATAAATGGAAAGATGAACCATGTTTATGGACGAGTGAACCAGGTATTATAAAAAATGCAAATTATCGGGGCTGGCCTGGTGGCGTAGTGCTTAAGTTCACACGCTCCGCTTTGGCAGCCCAGAGTTCACAGGTTCACATCCCAGGCATGGACCTACACACCACTCATCAAGCCATGCTGTGGCGGCGTCCCATATATGAAATAGAGGAAGATGGGCACAGATGTTAGCTCAGGGCCAATCTTCCTCAGCAAAAAGAGGAAGATTGGCAACAGATGTTAGCTCATGGCCAATCTCCCTCACCAAGAAAAAAAAAAAGAATGCAAATTCTCTCCCAATTTAGTTTACAAATTCACTGTGATTCCTATCAGAATCCCAGTAGGGTTTCTCAGTGGAGCTTGACATGCTGAACCTAAAATGGGCATAGAATTACAAAGGGCCCAGAATAGATGAGACTTTCCCGGAGAAGAACAAGGTGGAGTGGTGACCCCATACCAAGAATTATTAAAGCTACAATAATGAAGACAGTGAGTATGATATAAGACTGGACAAACAGGCCAATGATTTAGGCTACAGAACCCAGAAACCAACCTATGCATATAAGGAAACTTGATTAATGACGGGGGTGGCTTTACAAAGCAGAGGGGAAAGGATGGACTACATAAACAGTGGTCTGGGACAACAGGCTATACATTTGGAAAAAATACAGTTGGTTCCCTACATCACACCGTATACAAAAATAAATTCCATGTGGATTAAAGACCTAAATGTGAGAAACAAAACTTACAACTTTTAGAAGAAAATATAGGAGACTATTTTTATGACTTGAAAGTAGGAAGAATTTCTTAAGATTTTTTTTAAAGCACAAACTATAAAGTTATAATGCTAAATTTGACTAGATTAAAATTAAACCTTCTGTTCCACAAAAGACAGCATAGATAAACTGAACTAAGAAGGCCCAAACTGAAAAAGGATAGTTGCAAAGCAAATAATTTACAGAAGATTAGTGTCCAGGATATGTAAAGCATTCTCACAAATCAATAGGAAAAAGAAAAGATGTCCCGTTATATAGGGGTCAGTGTCTATGCACAGATAATTCTCAGAAGAAATCTGAATGTTCAATAAACATTTCAAAGTAAGTTCAACTTCACCAGTTGTCAGGGAAATAGAAGATAAAACAACGAGATACTATTTCATAACCAACAGATTGACAAAAATTAAAAATTCTGACATTATCCAGAGTTGGGGAGGATGTGGAATAACGAGAAATAAACAGAAAAGAAAAAACACATTGTGATGCAGCATAAATGTCCATCAACAACAGAATAGATAAATTGTGGTACATTCATTCAATAGAATATTATTCAGCTATTAAAATGAATGAACTAGGGCCAGATGCTTCATACAGATAAATCTCAAAAATGTTAGCCTAGAAAAAAAAGTTGAAGAATGCTATATAGAGAGTAGCATCATTTATATAAAATTTGAAAACAGACGAAGCATTACATCATCTTGTTCAGAGTTGTAGACGCATGTAGTAAGAGTATAAAAACACCAGGCATCGGGATGTAACACACCAACTTTAGTCGGTAGGTTACCTCTCAGGAGACGAGAGGAATGAGACTGGGGAAGAGAGACACAGGAGCCTTCAACTTTATCTGTCGTGTTTTACTCTGCTACAAAAATATCTGAAGCAAATAAAGCAAAGTATAAGGTTTTACAAAGCTGGTTGAGGCCTTCAAAGTTGTTCCCCATACTTTTTTGAACATTAGAAGATAACGACCAGGGGTTCCGGGGAGATGTTTTAGTTGGAGGGGACACCAAAATGTAACCCCATGGGAGCATATTCTTTGTTTTTCCACTGCTCTATCCCTCCACTGAGTGCCTGGTACAGAGGAGATACTCAACAAGTACTTGCTGAATGAATGGACATATGCAGAGGCACTGGGACATGTTAGGACATGGTGTGTTCTGAAAGAGCTAATCATCATAACAGCCTATTGGGCCCCATATGCACCAGCCACTGACTTAACTATTTGGTATCTCATTTCGTCCTTGCAACAATGGTAAGGAACATTATTATCTTCACTCTACAGGTGAGGAAACGGAGGCTTAGAGAGCAGAGTGATTAGGACTAGAGTTTACATTGCAGCAAAAAATATGAGGTAGTTGCAAAACGTGAAACAGTGGAAATAAATAAGACAAGGTCAAGCCAAGGAGCCTACAGTGCAGGAGGCACATAAACATATACACACTCTGGAGTGAAGGGTAAGCAGGACCAGAAGAGGGGATGGGAGGTGGGGGGTGGTGCCCAGTGCCTGGTAGCCTGAGAGGTGGGCACGCAGCAGGGAACTGTTTAGTCTGCCTGGGCAGTCAGGGAAGGCTTTACCAGGAGGAGACATTTGAACTTGGCCTTGAAGAAGCAGTGCACCTACAGATGCCAAGAACCCAGCGATCTGTGCTCCACCTCCAGTTGGTGTTGTTCAGAGGATCCATTGCTCTGGACTCAGAGCACAGAGCCTAACCACACAGGGCTGAGACCACCCACAGGGAAGACAAACTGGTTTGAATATAAGCTCCGATTTGAGAAAATTTGCTCTCACCTTTATATGCACAGAGAAAAAATCAACTCAAAGCTCTTCTCCAGCAATCATGACAGCAGTGATAATTACTCACCATTTAATAAGAGCTAACATTTATTGAGCATTTATTGTATACAAGGCACTGGGCTAAGTCATCATAAGCTTTATTGCCTCTAATTCTCACAACAACTCTATGAGGCAGGTACTATTTATCCCTTTCCAGGGATGAGAAAACCGAGGTTTAGAGAAGTCAAGTGTCTTGCCCAAAGTCCCATGCAGTTAGTAAGTGGTGGAGCTGGGATTTGAACCCACAGTTGTCAACTCTCCAGCCCATGTTTTAACCACTGTGTCTCACAAGCGCAAACATCCAGTTAAAGCAACGAGGGTTTTACTGCTCTCAATTGGAATAAATGAGAACGTGATCCCAGTATAATAAACTAGAAACCAAGCTGATCATTACATTCATGAGCACCTGTCACATGTGAGGTGTTCCATAAATACTTGTGAAATGAGGTAGCGTTTATTTCCAGGAAATGAAAACCAACCCAGTGTCAAAATGACATACTTCACCCACGTAGGAAGCAAGCAGAAACTCAGAGACTACACAAACGCGCAGAGCAGGTCTTCACAGGCACACATACCAGGACTCTCGGAGTCAGTGGCCCCTCCCTGCCCCACACTCAGACCTCCAGGGGAGCTCCCAGTCCTCCCCGCAGTCTCTGTTCCCCCTGCCCTCCTGATGGCCCTCCTCCTGCTCCCTGGCACTCAGCCCAGACCCCAGGCTGCAATGGCTACTGTCACTGGGTGCTGAGCTCCTGGGGTAAGCTGTGTGTTCTTGATCTCTCAGCCTGTCACAGAGTGGGCTGACTCTGAAAACATGCAGCCGATGAATGGAGTCCAGCGCTCTCCCCAGTAGCCCGCAGATCAGAGATACATAAAGGGAGAAAAAAAACAGGACATGGGAAAGAACTGGAAGAGTTCTGCTTTTCAAACAAAAGTAGATAAAGAGAACCATCCATCCTTTCCCCCAGGAAAAGCCACCATCGCTTAGATAGCGTGTTCGTTGTATTCATTCATCTCACAAACATGTACCAGACACCTACAATGTGCAGGAGACAGGCCCTGGCCTGGAGTTGGCTGGCTCATTTGCACCCTTCCTCAGTAAACACTGAAGAGCCCCCCTGTCTCCACCAGGCACGGTGGGCACAGAATGGGCCAAACACAACCCGTGTCCCCAGGGGCACACAGTTGTGGGGCGGGGGGCAAAGCGGCAGTCACAACTGACAAATGTTAAGGTTCCTTCCGAGGAGAGGGAGCGGGGAGGGGGAAGACCCAGAGATGGGATGGTAGAGGAGAGGGGAATGGCAGCAGCCCAGCCCATCTGGATTCTCCCCAGAGCCACATCTGACAACACACTTGTCACGTTTCAATTAATTGCAAGGTTTTCCCATTGACTCAAACAAGAGCTCTCTGATTAATTTTCAAAAGAGCCGGCCGAGTTTAATCATAGCAAACAATGATCCCGGTTATTATGGCCTGAGTGGCTAAAAGCAGAAAATAAAGACCCCAGAACGGGCTATAGTCCTGACGCTTGCCCTCCGCCACCAGGTGGGCCCACGCCCAGGGTTCTGAGCTGCTAGGCACCAAGGCACGGCGGACGGAGGCCGCGAGCAGGGCCGGCTGGGTGGGGGCTTCGGGGGGGCTGTCCGCGGGAGAGTCGGGAGGCGGGCCCCGGGTGCTCGGGCACCCCGGGTCACCGTCCAGCAGGGCCCAGAGCGGCAGGCCGGCGCGCTGCCCCGGGCCGCGACAATGGGGGGGCTCCGCTCGGCCCACGAGGCCCGGGTGCTGCCGCAGCCATGCCAGGAAGGGCCGCAGGCCGCAATCGCAGCGCCAAGGATTGTGCCCCAGCAGGACCTCCGCCAGCCGCGGCAGAGCCTCAAACACGTCGCCAGGCAGGGTCTCCAACTGGTTGTGGTCGAGCTGGACCTCCTCTAGGCTGCTGAGGTCGCGGAAGAGCGCGCGGGGCAGGGCCCGCAGCCGGTTGTGGCGCAGCGACACTCGGCGCAGCCTGCGGAGGCCGCGCAGCAAGCCGTCGGGGAGCGAGGCCAGGCTGTTGGAGCGCAGGGCGAGCACCCGGAGCTCGCCCAGGCCCCGGAAGGCGCCCTCCGGGAGCGCGCTCAGACGCGGGCTCAGAGTCACTCCTAACACCTGCAGGCGGCTCAGGTTGCGGAAGGCGGCGGCGGGCAGGGTGCGCAGCCGGGTGCCGTTCAGCCACAGCTCCTGCAGGCCGGCCATCTCCCCGAAGAGCACCTCCGGGAGCTCTTCCAGAGGGTTCTCGAACAGGGTCAATACAGTCAAATTGTGCGAATGAAGAAAGAGAGCAGAGGGCAGGAACTCGAGGTGGTTTCTGGAAAGAGTCAAATAGCTCAGGTTTGGGAGCCGGTCGAAGGCACCAGGTGCGATTGAACGGATGTGATTTCTGTGGAGCTGCAGCTTCATCAGGGCGCGCAGGCTATTCAACAAACCCGAATCCAGAGAGACGAGCTGGTTCGAGTGGAGCAGAAGTCTCTCAAGCTTAGCCTGTGCCCCAAGCAATCCCTTGGGCAGGTGAGTCAAATTGTTTCCCGATAAATCCAATAATTTCAGGTTGCCCAGATTTGTGAAGAGGCTAGCAGGAAGGAAAGTGAGTTGATTTTGGTTCAAAAGGAGCTCCTGCAGATTAACCAGTTTCTGAAACATGTTTTGGTCTTTAGTTCATTGCGGTCCAAAAACAACTGTTCCAGGAGCACCATCTTATCCAATAGCGCGCGTGGAAGATGAGTGATCTTGTTGCGCGACAACCTCAGGGTTTTAAGATTTATCAGGTCGTTGAAGGTGCCGGGGGCAATGGCGGAAATGTGGCTTTCGGACAGCATCAGGCGCTGCAGGACGGTCATGCCGCTGAAACTGTCATTCTGCAAAGCACCGCGGCCCATTTGGAAGAGCTGGATGAGCGTGAGGTTGGTGGGCAGGCCGAGCGCGGCGATGAGCGCCACGTTGCCCCCGGAGCACCGCGCGTCGTCCCTGAAGACACACTTGCAGGCTGGCGGGCAGGGGAACGCCTGGGTGCGCAGGAGCCCGAGCACGGCGCACAGCAGGGCGCTCCGCAGCATGTCTGAAAAGGCAACAGCGGGAGGTCTGTGGGCAACACACAAGGGCAAACGCTCATATTCGATCTCGCAACCCTGCAGAGGCATGTCTCTTTCGCCAGGATTATCGCTGACTTTGAATGTTATCCAGATACCACTGAGTCCCCCTCTTCTTAGGAGTGCACATTTTCCTGGGTGGTGAAAAGACATTCCTTCTACACTACGAGGTCTCAATTCTTTTATTTTACTGATTTTCTACCTTCAGTTTAAAGCATTGAAATAAAGCGTTTTCAAGCTAGAGAACACTCAATACTTTAAAATCTTTACATAGAGGGAGTTAATTAGAATAATTATTCTCACATTCAAGCTGCAGACATCACAGAGCAGTGCCCCTGTGAAAACAGCCCTGCTCTTGATGTTATAACTTACCCAGGAGTGGCTCTAACCAACAGCCATGAAAGGAACAGCAAAGTCTGTTAAAACAGCAACCACCACCTGATCCCTTTGATCACCATCATGCTATAGCCACAGTACTGACTTACTCTACCAAACAATGAACACCCCAAAATAGGAAACACCTTGTGAGCCACGCTGAGAAAAGCAGGTGATACATACCGATCACTTCATGCCGTGCATTGTTCTCAGGGCTTTATTTAAATTAATTCATTTAATCCTTACAATAACCCTGTGAAGTAGGTACTATTATTATCCCGAGTTAAAAGAGGAAGAAACTAAGGCACAGAAAGTTTAAGTAACTTAGCCAAGGTCACAGAGCTAGAATTGGAGAGTAGTATTTCTGATTGAGCCATAAATAAGGAGCTATCATTTCGAAGATGCTTAATTAAAAATACTACTGAAATACATAGTATTGCTAATCTGCTAAAACAGTGTTTCCCAAACCGTTTCTTGTACTACATTTTATTTCGTATGTACACACAGACTAACCGAGCCCTCCAGTTGCCAATATTAACTTTTAAAATATTTGGCCTTACCTGAAATGGTGCTGTGCCCCAAAGCAACTGAAAGGCTTAGAGCTTTGCCTATGATTCGGCACTTTCCAAAGGAAGAGGGAGGTATCTTTGCATCCTGAGGATAAAGACTTTATCAGAAAAAAAGTCATGGAAAGGACCCTATCTCAGAGGGCATATTCTGGCTTTTAATGACAAATATCTTCACTGAAAAAGAGATCATATAACTTAAGTCCTACTGTCAAACTGGTAAGAGCAGGAGGGAGAGAAGCTTCTCCATAAATAGCACAATACCACTCTGTGATGCTGGAAAAGTTGAATGACACAGTTGGCTCAGGGCAGCAGCCCCGCCCCCAGATGGGCCACACTTCCTTTGGGTCTTCCTTTTCATGCCACAATGCCCCAGTTCTCTACTCCAGTATCCACCCCACCCCATGAATACTAAGGCTAAGAACATTCTCAAAGGCTCCACTCATCCTTTTTTCTTTCTAGGAATAACAAGGCTAAAAACATTCTCGAATATGTTCAACAATGGCATTACTGGCTTGAAGGGTGTTACATGTTTAAATTAACTTACGAATGTCAAACTGCTGTCCAAAATAGCTGTACTAATATATGATGCCACCTACCGTGTATGACAGTTCCTGTGACACACAGCTCTGCCCACACTGGAATTGATTTTTTAAATTGAACTTTTGCCATTCATATGAAACAATTGTCTCAGTATGGTTTTAATTTTTCATTTTCCCATTTAATTATGAACTTGAGCATCTTTCCATATTTTTAAGAGCCACTTGTACTTCATCTGAGAAATTAGGTTCTTTTCTTTTGCTTATTTTTCTACATGCAAAATGCTTATGTCTTTTAAAAAACTGCATTGTCAGCATTCTTTATATAATCTGGATACTAATCCTTCGCCAGTTAAAGGTGTTACAAAAAATCTTCAACTAGTTCGTGGTTTGCCTTTTCACCTTCCTTATGTCTTTTGATGGACAGACATTTTAATATAGGCAAAATTATCAATCTTTTGTTTTTTGTGTCTATTAAAATAAATCCTCTCCTGCCAACTCAGAAAAATATTCCCTTATCATGCCTCAAGTTTTAGTTTTGCCCTTTGCATTTAGAAAGGTCTTTGAACTGACTTTTGTGTATGATGTGAGTCCAATTTTATTTTTTTCCATGAGGATAACCAGCTGTCCTAGCCCCATTTATATATATCAATCCCTTCTTCCCTCAGAGCTACAGTGTCAGCACTGTCGTGAGCCAACATCTCATGAATGTGTGGGTCTTTTTCTGGGCTATTTGATAATCCCTACACCAACACAACACTGAAATAACCTTTTAATGTTTAAAGCCTGAAAATATCCAGTGTTTTATGAAGTGTAAAGAAATGGACCTTCTCATACTACACTGGTGGGAATATAAATTGGGGCAACTTTTTGGAGGAAAATTTAGTAATATCAACCAAATTTAAAATATACATATCCTTTGTCCAGCAGTTCCACTGCTAAAAATATACTCTATGGATATGGTCATTAAGACATGCACAAAAACACTTATTGCACGATTGCTTGTAATAGGAAAAAAAAAATGAAAACCTAAATGACCATCAGCAGGGAAGTAATCGTTTAAATTATGGTACCCATGCAATGGGATGCCTCGCATGGCTTTAAAAAGAACCAAGTCGAGCTGCAAATGCTGACATAAATTCTAAGATATACTGAATAACATAAAACAAGGGCAGTGTAGCATATAAAAGGGTATTCTATTTGAGCAGCATTTTTTAAACCATACTTATATGAGGATATATACATAAATATTTTTTATGGAACGATACACCCAAGAAACTTGAGTGCTCACCTTTTGGGGGAGAAACCAGGAAATAGTGGGCCTTCCTTATATTTATGTACCTTTGTGTGAGATTTGAATTTTTATTAAGCATGCTTATATCACTATTATTTTTTAAGAAACTTTAATGCAAAAACAAAGTGATTTGGAAGGGAAATGGCATCATTTAAGAAAAAAGGTAAGAATACAGGTATTAAAAAAAATACTGAGACAAGTCAATGCTTGATTTGTGAAGGAATAAAAACACCAACCTCTGGAATTATTGCGTGGTACAGCAAAAGTTGTTCTTAAATTATTTTACCCAGGTTGGGAGAGAAGTCCTCCCATCCATGAGACTTGCAGATGTTGTAGAAAAGGCACTGAAATCCAATCAGCCTTTGATGCAGCCAGATGCAGTCAAAGCCCAGTAAATGCTGCACTGAGTGAAATGATCCTCTAAGTCATCAGCCCTAAACCACAGGGAAAGCCACTGCCTCTGCCAGGTGTCGTGGGGGGTCTCTTTCGGCTCTGATCAAGGGAAGCAACTCCAGAGCCCAGAACAGCTACTCCGATGACCCAGTGAGTCAGCTGTGCACACCAGGCGAAAGGCCTCTCGCCCATGAGAATGCCAGGGAGCCAGAGTGACCGAGGGACTGGGGAGAAGTTCTGCGGAATAATCAGAGTAAAACTTCCGAGTTCAATTCTGGTGAAGCTTCCTTAGCCTCTTTCCCCAGGAAGACCTCCAATCAGAACAGCCTCCAAGTTCTGTTCTTTGAAGAGATTAGGACACTCCTATTGCCCAGGAAGGGAAAACTGGCGATGGAGGCTGCAGACAGTGGAGAAACACTGTGAGTCCATCCACTGAACAAATGGACAAGGTACTGACAAGTATTTTGAGCAATGAAGTTGAAGGCTCCAGTGTTTCAGGACCTTTAGATTTTGGACCCATGAAACGGGTCAGAAATCTGCTGTCCTAAGGGGCAGCTTCTATATAAGTCACAGAAGCCTGGCCTATGGGGTTTGGCCATTCAAAGGCGGGTGTCTGCCCGGATGAGATATGCTTTTCCTCCTCCGTAGGGGAGACTCAGAGGCTATGGCACAGCAGGGACCTCTCTGCACTTACGGAGTAACCACAACCCCAACTTTGAACAGGGACAGTCTCACTCAAACTCCTAGAACTCCCTCTGTCCTTCTGTAATATACACTCAGAATAAAGCAGCTGGCCATGATGGAGGGGGAAGAGGAAGGAGAAAAACTAGGAGGCTGTGGGGACATGATCGTTTGCTACACAAACCACAGTGAACGGAAACAACTTAGGTTCAGACTAGGCCTTCAGACCACCCAATCCACCATCCCACCACAGTGAGCCACACGGACCACAGAGAAGACACCAGCTCCTGTAGAACCCACAATACCAGGGTACCATGTCTTACATGGTATTGATCCTTTGGTTTGATCTTCCCAATTATTAATTTGTAAGTCTCTAGTCTGACATTACATCATTTCCCTCAGACCTCCTGACACTTCATATTTGGCTCTACATTGATTCTGACTAATGGGTTTCCACCGGATGGTCACAGACATGATGTATGTGGAATGTAGTACTTATTTCCTTCAAAAATCCAAAGTTTAAAAAAACAGAAAAAAAAGAAAGAAATGGAAAAGTATTAAGCAGGAAAATAAATCTAGAGAGGGCAGTATTCGAATAAAAAGCAAACAAATGTATAAAGACACAGAAAAAAAAATGTTATTCATTTAAATTTTTATTTTGAATAGCTTCAATCAAAAAAGATTTCATAAGGTTATTTACAGTGAATGTACAATTATGACATATGCCTTTTTGACATCAGGGTACCATTCTTGAGCAGCAATACAATTTTAAAAATATAAAGATGCAGTATCATTTCTGATATAAAGTTACTTTAAAAAAAATCCAAAGTCTTAGGGAATTCACAAATCATAACAGGAAATAACTAATTAATTTAATGTGCACATAATTACCAAATTTTAATACATTAAAAATATGTGTAAATGCCCACAGACTGTACAAAAATTAACATCCCACATTTTGTTAAAAGTGCCCAACCACCACCCACCATAAATATACAAAGACCTATTTTCAGATATGTCAAAGCTGCAGGCATGAAATCTTAGAATGTTTTCTAAAGCTTGAATTTTGCTCTTCTCTGGATATCATGTCTATAGCCGTTTTGGGAACAGAATACATAAACACTGATATATTATTTACCATGCCTTGAAACTGTGCAGTATTTTCAAAAACATGGGAAACAAAAATAAATAGAGTAAAAACTGCAACAGTTTTGCTTAAATGCAAGTGCAATTTGGAAAGCTTTCGAATGTAAGGATTATAAAACTAATACAAAAAGTATTTGTTTTGTTGTTGGCTTAGCCACTTTTATTCAAGCATTGTTTGCAGCATTGCTTTACAGCAGTTGGTGCTAGAAGATACAAAACATATAGTTACTACTATTTATATATTTGAGGGAGAAAAAAAACTTTAAACAACCCTGAGGGAGACACACATTAAAAATGCTGTTATTTATTTATTTAAAAAGTTAAAAAGTTACATATCATTATTTAACAATTACTTTCTTGGACATTTCTGTCCTTTAAGTATGTGCATAAATAAAACTTAAATCGGCAATATTTATTCATCTTAATACATCAAAATAATATATATACAGATTTTAAAATTTAGGTCTGTATACACTCAAATAATTTAATGTGAAATTCAGAACCAAAATTACTATGTAATGGTGACCTACAGAGAGAGGATTCAGTCTACCTATGGCACTGAGTAGGACCCACACCTAGACTCACAGACATTCTTCAAATAGCATTCTGGAAGCCATCAATTACAAATTTGAATGACCCACTTCGTCTATGTTCAAATCTAACTTCCTAAATGCTTTTCCACCTACCTAAAAACCTCATTCCTTTGAAAATAATATGGACAGATGAGATATAAAACCCTTATAAAATCTAAATGTTAAAAAAAAGGGAGGGTGTCAAAAATATAGCTCTTTATGATTATGCTCTTAAAGATGCTAAATACAATCTGATAACTGGATTTTTAAGCTGCTACTTAGCAATTTAATTATATGCTTCAGTATTTAAATCAAAGAATAAAATTTACAATTCTGGGAAATTACTCAAGAATAACACTTGTACATATAGAAAATGAATGTGGAAATTATAAAACAATCAAGAGAATAAGTAACTATAGAAAACAGTGCTAATTCACAGCTCAAGAGGTCTAAGATGCATAGCTTCATAGAATCATTCATGGAACAATTGTTCTTATCATCTAATGTGTATTTATATTGTATCATACTTTTTGATGGAAAACTTCAATTATATTTTTGTAAGAATCATCAGTGGCAATAGCAATTAACAGTGATCCTGAGTGTAACTTACATTTTTCTACAGTTACCAAATATCATTCAGGTCTCTGCAGCATAAAAAATGAGAACCATTTGGTTCTACGGTTCTGGGTAACATTTGATAAATTGGTAAATATATATCAGGACAATAATGATCAGCTAGTGGAAAGCACAAGCCTGCTACTGGTTAAGGAGGAATATAGGATAACGTCACATAGTTTTAGTAGTTTAGTATCCATCTTACAGCAATATCAGTTTCCTTGTTTATCATAACTGTGGGCTTTGCCAAGCTGCTGGATCTTACCTATAGAGGCATTTTTAAAGTTAATTGTGTTGAGAATTTAAACATTAACCAGGCAAAACAGAAAGGTGAAATATATTTTCCATATTTCTTTTGGCTCAATGAACGTCTCTTCTTTAACTGTATATCAATTTTTTTTCTCCCAGAAATTTCCACAACCAAATATGCTCATTTGTAACCATCCAATCCAAAATAGGTAAGCTCTGACCTCTGGCGCCACCTAATGGCATAAAACAAACTCTCATCAAGTTCATATTGCTTTGAAAAAACAGCAGTCATTCAAAAACCACTCATATTTAAAGCCTCATTATTGATAGGAGAGACATACATCAAACCTTAAAAATTTCAGGAGGTAAAATTCTAACTCAAAAAACTAAAAACAACAAAAAACAACTCACTATTATCCCATGTCTTTAGGTAATTAAAGACGTAGAAGAAAATATTTAAAATAATACAAAACCTGAGAGAAAAAAACAGGTATGAAAAGATACTAGAGACAGATCTACATCTACTGCCAAAAGAAATAACCTTTTTTTCCTAGTGAAAAAGGTTCTACAACATTTAACTGAAGCAAATTATACTACTGACACCAGATATAGCACAAGATCCATTTCATAGCTCTGAGGGACATCTCAAGAAGGCAGTGAAGCACCTTGCTGATTAGAAAAATAAAAACCCAGGCAGTTTGTACAGAAAATATAAAACCATGAATGGAAATTACCTGAGTTGTTCTATAAGCAACACCATAAAACTCACTCCTAACTCTAGGCTATCCAAGGGAACTGGTGTATGTTTATAGAGAATTCTGTGGGAGAAATATTGGAATCAAATGAAAACAGGCTTTTCTACCTATTTTCACTGGAGGCTAATTAACACCCTTTTTATTTATCAATCGCAAATTTAGGGCCTGTATATAAATGAGGACTTTTTCTAATAAGGGGGTTGTGAAAATAAATTTAAAGGTATAAACTAGGTCTCAAAACTAATGTCTAAAAACCTACCAAATACCAACTTTCTTCTGTACCCTATATAAAGAGTATCACTGAGGTGACAAGAAAATTCTGGAAATATATATAATATTTAGAATTATTGAATGAAGATACAGGACTTGGCGGACTGATTAATTTAACTGACAGGCCAATCATTTTTCTGCTTTAAGGAGAAAAAAAAAAAAAAAAAAGCCTCTCCAATCAGCTACTATATCAGAAGGGACATAAATTGAAATGATGCCATTCTGACACACAGGATCAGAAAGTCCTAAAGTTATGTTCTCCTCGATACTGCTACAGCACACCACTGAGACTGAGGAACTGCTATGTGATGGTGATCTGACAGGATCCGTTCCCCTGAGCGAAGGCTTTCGCTTCTGTCGTCGTCTGAGGTCTGGGTGGCCATTCCGGATCAACCGAGAGCTCCTGAGCCAGGCGCATGTACTTCGCCTTTGGCACCTTCTCTCTAAAGTGCAGGGCCCAGGACGAGAAGCATTTTGCCCACCAATCCATCGACTCCTAAGAAAATAAGGAAAAAGAAGCACACTCCAGTAGATGAAGGGCTGGCGGTTTTTAACGAGTTGGTTAAAGCATAGTACTTTCACAGCACAGAAAAATAAGAGGAAATGACTTCTGAGAACAAATGAAAAAAAATTCATGTATTAAAAAAGTCAGCTTTCAATTATTTAGGAACACATTATTTTTTAAGGTTAGATTTTTAAATTGTCAATGTAGTTTACTTCACTTTATATTTACTTTTATGTACCTATCTATCCTCTTGTATATGGATAAATTTCTAAAATAACTTGCAGACATGGATTCTTTGAAAGAAAGTTATTCTTTCAACTCTTCAGAAAGAGAAAACATTTTTAATATTTAATATGGAAACCCTCATACTCTATCCCAAACCATCTTTTGGCATTATTGCTCCTAGCAACTTAGCCACTTGATCATTTTTGGAAGAAAGGAGTGTAAAAATATCACTGTTACCGTTACTATCACCTTTCAAAACATGAAGCATGATGTTAATACTGTTAGGTCAAAATTAGAACTTAGATCATGTTTAATGTCAATCACTTCTTTTAAAGCCAAATTCTCATTAATATAAAAAAAACAATTTAATTTCATAATGATGGTTTCCCCTGGTGCTCCACAATTGGAAAGACGTACATAGAAAGGTATAAAGCAAGTACTATTTCTTAGTATTATTTCATTATAAAAAGCTCTGCTGTCACTGAAATCCTTCTGGTCAATCCTGATGTTTTCAATGAATGTGATTTTAGATAAATAATTCTTGAAGAACAAGAAAGCAGAGTCTGTGGTTATTGTACAGAAATGTAAATTCAACAGAGGCCCTCAGAATTCATCTTAACTGAAATTGGAAGTAAATGAAATAAAATTAAATGACTATACCAAGACCTGTAGTTACATTCACCTCAAAGAACAGTCAATTTTTAATTATTTTGGTTGTTGCTTCCCCAAAGCAAAATTTGAATCCCAGGTTGTTTTGTTTTGCCATCAACATATAACCCAGGCTGCAACTAGGTCTGATCTCAACTGAAGTCATCTCACAAAATAGAAGCATAACGTAACTGCGACAGGCATTCTAACATTAACACCCAAAATATCTTCATGATCAAGAAAGGCAAATTTGCTATGACACATATATTTTGAAACATATGTTTCTAAACTGGCCAGTGGAGAACAGCAGAAATACTTTAAAATGAAAACTCTCAATCTTTTTCATAGTTGGACTTGGTAGGTCTTCTCATCTTATTGAGACAACCACCAGGAAGCTACTAGTCTTTCCTTCCCCAAGACTGTGGGGTGGACACGTGGCGGCACTGAGAGCATGGGAAACAGTAACTAAGTGCTTTTAAAGGTCTTCCGGTTTACTCTGTCAGCAAAACACAGCACACGCTGCACTGCCTCCAAGAAGTTACAGGCAAAAATTGTGGTCACAAGCTATATGAGATCCGGGGTTGGGGGGAGAAAATTCAAATTCAAATTCAAATTAAGATTTGAAGATTATTCCTTTAGTAGCCTCTTTATTGTCATAGCTAAAAAGAGTTATTACCACCACTTTAAAGAAGTCCACAAGAAAATACTTAGCATTAGGATACAGAAGAGATTAGATATAGGATTCTTCACCTGATTTAAATAATAAATATTCCTTTCCAGTGTAGGCACATACACAACAAACTTTAATATTTCATCTGAGATGATGGCTCACTACTTGGATCTATCTTTTTCCCAAGGTGTTTAAATTCTTCAATCTAATTGCCGAGAAGATCATTGTTCCTAAATCAATCTGAAAGCTGTCATTTTTATTTTACGGCATGTGGCACTGTTAAAGGATCAAAGGAAAAGGCTAATAATGGTGAATGCTGACTTTAAAAAAAAAAACAAAACAGAAACATAAAGGCTTTGTCTGTCCAGAGGAGCTGGCTGGATTGAAGGGCAATGCACAGCAGGCTGAGTTACAGAAAGTCACAGTCAAGCATATTCAAATGTAAGACATACACACACATATCTATATCTAAACCCGCTGTTCCCTACCTGTGGAAAGCGAGGCAAGCAATAAAATTAAAACTAATTTCATTGCAAACAGAATCACAATCGAATAGTATTCTTTTCACACTAAGGTGCATGTTTAAAAAAAATCCTCATGTTCCTATTAAAAGTAAGGTACACTTATGATTTAGAAAAAACAAGTTACAAGGAACACTAGGGATCCCCCTTCCACTGTAATTAGAAACATATTTTGTTCCTATACCCTCACCTGTCCCAAATATCATACATACAAAATACACTGTAGGCAAGCATAGGCCTGTTAGTTTACAACATAAACATACCATACACATCCACAAACACAACAGAATTCACAGGGACAGAAAGTAAAAGGTGCTATACAGGCATGCTGCATGAGAAATCAATCAAGGGAGCAATGATGGTGGCAAGAGGAGAAAGGCAGGCACTGAGCAACAAGAAGGTGAAGAGGGGAGATCGCAGGGGCTTAGAATGAGCACTTGGGTCTCCTCGAACATCCAGGCATAAGTCCTTGAAGCAGGAGAACACAGGAGCCAGAGCAACTGGATCTCTTGGTTTGCTCCTGAAAGGAATGGTTAAATAACCAGGTGTGTCCCTCAGAGAAGGGAAAGAGGCCACCACAGTCCAGCAGGGAAACCACAAAGAACTTTCAAAGAGATCTACAACTAAAATTCTCCTGCTTCTAAAGACCATTCCAAGCTGTTCATTCTAGAAGCCCAATGCCAGTTTACTCTTAGCAGTGTCTTTTAGGAAACGTTTTCATGGGTAGCAGGTGAAATATAAAGCCATGCTTGTGGGAAAAAATGTCATAATAGTACTGTGGTTTTCATAAAAGTCTTCTTCCATACCAATCCTGAATATATAACAAATGAAGACAATCAGAATTAGCCTTCTATCTCAATGCTAAGTGGCATAAACACTACAGCTAACACTTGGATTTTTCCCCAAAAAAGAAAATATAATTAGGCACAGATCCTCAGGCAGGATCAAACTACACAATGGTATGATACTAGTTCCACATCTACTCTGACAACCTTGGTTTACCAGACACAGGATAGGCACAAACGCTTCTTAGAGAACATACAGCACAGATCTTGTCAAACAGATGATAGTGCCCTCCACTGAAAATTTTCATTCAGTAGGTTAAGGGAGGCGTTCAACACATTTTTGATGAAGATCCTTGCTCAAAAATCACTGATATATAAAGAATCTTTTTTTGTCAGAGAATAAGTATTAACATTTGGGGCTGCTAAAGAACATTGTAGTAAAAAATATTTAACTACATTAAAGTTTTAACTTTGATTATTTGCAAATAATTTACTTAATTTGTTTTCAGTTTGATTCAATAGAAATTTACTGAAGCCACTGAGCATCAATAAGAAAAATTATCACTATGGGAAATAAATTACTATTGTAAAAATCCTTCTTGTTATCTAAATTAGGTAAGCTGCATGAATGCTCACCAGACCAAGTAGAACATGATGTCCAAAATGTCTACTATTACATAAAATGACACACAAAAGTTCATTTGGTCTTTAAAGAAGAGACGGAGGCTTTCTGGTATAGGAATATTATGGTCTGGGTCCAGATAAACCTGAATCTGAAACCAGTTCTAACACTGTTTTCTCATCTGTGAAAATTGGGATAGAGACTAAAGACATTCCTATCTCTTAAGGTTGTTGTAACAATTAGAGAATTTATACAAAATGCCTCACACAGTGTCTACCATAAAAAGTAAGTATTGATAACAGCAGCTATTGTTAGTCTCCATTTTGTCATTTGATTGTTATATTAGTCTACATCTCTATGGCCCCATCAATGATATCTGTGAGGCAGTGTGGTATAGTGGAAAAAATGCTCTTCTTGAAATCAGAAACCCTGGTTTCAACCCCCAACTCTGCCATTTATTAGATGTATAACTTTGGCAAACTGACTGAATGCTGTTTCTTTATGTGTAAAATGAAGCTAGAAATACCCTAAGACTGGGGGGATCCTGCAGGCGTTGTATAGTGTGCCTTGTAGATCAACAGATATTTTGGACATGGTTACTAGACATTTCCAGATGAGGTTCTTGACTCCCCAACCCAACTGTCTAAGACCTGGAGCCTAGTCCAGGGTCTCTAGCTTTGAAACTTTCAACCCAACTCAATGGTCCCTGGGTCTATATGGTAAGGAAGGAAAAGAAGAAACAGGGCTCTTCCTCCCACAACATTAATACAGAAGGTGGGGACTTGCAGTCCGAGAAGACCTCATAGGAGTCTCGGTAGAAAGAGCACAGAATGAGCAGGTGTGGAACAGGAGCTTGTGGCGAGGGAGAATTACGGCAGCCACACAAATCCTCCTGGAGCAGGTCACTCGCATCTTGACTTTCTTTTTCACCTTATGGTCAGGGTTTCAACCTCGGCACTACTGACATCTTGGACTAGCCATTCTCTGTTGTGAGGGGCTGTCCTGTGTACTACTGTAGGATGTTTATTTAGCAGCATCCTTGGCCTCTACCCACTATATGCCAGTAGCGACACCATTCCCCCACCACCTGTGACAACCAAAAATGTCTCCAGATACTGCCAGATGTCTCCTGTGGGTAAGAGGATTGCCCCTGATGGAGAACCACAACCTTAGGGTAATATGACTGACTGACTGGTTCTCGAAGAGTCACAAATATGAACAGTGAAACCACATTACACATACAAGTGTCAGAAGATCAAAGTAGATCATTCTACGCAGAGACGTTATAAGGAGTCTCTTTTCTAAAGCCAATAATTTTAAAAATGTTTTCTTAATCCTGACCATAGGAATTAAAGACTGCACTTCTCGAAGACTGAAATGTCTTGACTGAAACCATTCTCAGAACCGGTAAATATGGGGCACGCTTGGGCTACCTGCTCTCGACCACTCTCTCCCTTCACACTCCCCTGAGCACTTCAGAAGTAGGACTTCACATGAAAGACACAAACTCTTAAAAATAACAAGGACAGGTACTGGTTAACAAATATTTAGAAAACAGAGATTTAGCAAATGATAGCATTTTATGCTATTTAATTTTGATTGAAAAGTGAGGAGGGATTTCCAATTCAAATACTTTAAAGGAGCTTTGATACCCATTTTTGACTAAACTGGACTATACCTCCTCTTCAGAACCTGCATTCCCTGTTTAGATCATCACTGGCCTGTTGAATAGTCAGAGATCTTTATGGAGAAGATGAAAACTCAATGTAAATGTTCTCCTCAGCTTAGGGGCCTTGGCCATACAAGTATTTCATATGAGGTCTGACGATACGAGCCAAAGTTAACCCTCTGAAGTCATGTAGTGAGGTAACCAAAAGGAAAAAAATACAGGCACAGAGGCCTGAAGGACTTGAGCCCCTGACACAGCTCTGGCCATACCCACTACTAGGGACACTGGGCACCACCCACACTGCTTTGAGAAAAAGAAAATGAAGCTGATTCCAGACTCATCCATCATTACAAAACTAGCACTATTCACCACAAAGCATTAGGAAAGGAAATGGCACTTTACAGGACCTCTTTTAAAGCAATCCTGTGACATTATACCAGGCCTCAAGCCTGTTGAATTACCTAAATAAAGCTCAGGAAGCTGCTGCTTAGTTAAAAAAAGGCTAAAAATAAGTGAGGGACCCAACTTTAAATGCCAGAGAATCCTCTTGAACTCTGCAAGCTTCCTTGTGGCTCAGAACTCACATTGTAAAGCACAGCACCCATCCACAAACAGCAATGGGTCAGATAATAAGGGCTGAGACTGTATCTTGTCAAGTTCTCTGTACCCATAAGGTGGCTCAGAGCTGTGATTCAACGGTATCGGTTTAAAAAATAAGACTGACCTATATCTTCTATGCAGAACTATAGTTCAACATCCTAACACCAGGAAAGGAGTTTTATCCATCTGTTTCTCTTCCTGTTTTACCACAGAGCTTGCATATCTTTTGAATAATAGGCTACTTAATGGACCCAAAAAGTCAAAAGTCATAAGCTATGGTTTGTATAAAAATAAGTAATGTCTCTCTGAAAATTTTCCTGAATGATGAGAGATATATGTTGGGGAAAGCCAAAAAGCCACCCAAAATTAAAGCCCAGTAACTGACAAAAAATTAGACATAATTTCTCAAAATTCTGATCTTTGGACACTGATCCACGAAGAAACAATTCCCATTTCATAACTCCATTTATATGACCTCAATTTAGCTTCTAATGGGACTCATGAAAACCAAAAATATAAAATTTAAACCAGACAGAAATATGGAAAAATTAACTCTCCCCACTGAGGACAAGACTTTTACACACATAGAAGATAAGGATTGGAATGGAAAAGAGACTTATGAAATTTACCAAGTCCTGAAAAGCCTGGTACAAATGTTTGCCATGAATTTTCTAGGACTCCTTATAAGAAATGAAATGCCAGGCATAGGTAAAAAGGTTAAAGCAACACACAACAGAATATCACCCTAAGAAGGAAGAGGACACAACTAAAACAGCCTAGATACACGTGAAGAATTGAGAGTAATTGCTGATTCCCAACCTGTGGTGGCTGTGTGGTGGTGAAGCGATATTCTCCTTGTTTGTCTCGATTGAACACAACTTTCCAAAGGACCATGTCAAGGAAGAAGTTCTGAGAGATATTCCAGTGAGTTAAGAATTAAAAATGACTAAGTCATTTTTTATTAACGTGCACATTTAAAAAGGGTCACACAATGCTGCATCATTAGCGAAAAACATGATTTCGTTTTCACATAAAGAATTCCAGTTAATATTGCAAAAGGATAAAGAAAAGCAACAGGACTTTTGTAACAAATATAAATCATCATCAAATTCTTGATAAAAACTCTCCTAAATTTTCCACAAAAGATGGCTTTTGTATGAATCCTCAGGTCTTTCCCATATTAAAATAATGCTTATAATCTGAAGTCTTTTTCTCAACAATGAGTTATTTCCACTGAATTAATATATAATATTAATGCTATTTCTATATATAGCTACATCTATAAATGAATATGATTTCAGAGTCCAACACAAATAATTCTTTTGATAGTGAGCAAGAATAATAAATTAACAGGAATTATAAAAGGATTCCCTAAAAATTCCGTGTTTTTAAAAAAATTTTATCTTAACATTTGAGTGAAAAGATGAACGTATACTATAGAAAAAGAAAAGTTTTTAAAATACAGTATCTTGGATGTGCTTTCTAGTGTCCATAAAATAGCAAAAATGCATTCCACTGGGCAACTCAAAAAGATCAGTACTATAATATCCGTCCTGCCCACTATATGGCCCAAATTTAAATACCAAGTCATCTTTTAAAAAGATAACAAATTAAGCATAATTTCCAAGTCTAGAACTATGAGCACGAAAGTATACATATTTCCCCACAAATTACCTAACTTTAATTCAAAAGCCTACACGGGCCGGCCCCATGGCTTAGTGGTTAGGTGCGCGCGCTCCGCTACTGGCGGCCCGGGTTCGGATCCCGGGCGCGCACCAACGCACTGCTTCTCCGGCCATGCTGAGGCCGCGTCCCACATACAGCAACTAGAAGGACGTGCAACTATGACGTACAACTATCTACTGGGGCTTTGGGGGTGGGGGGGAAGGAGGAGGATTGGCAATAAATGTTAGCTCAGAGTCGGTCTTCCTCAGCAAAAAAAGAGGAGGATTAGCATGGATGTTAGCTCAGGGCTGATCTTCCTCACAAAAAAAAATAAAGCCTATGCTATGAAACCCCTAACTTAAAAATAACAACTGTATCTCCTTCTTCCAATTCATATATTGCTACTGTAGGAGTGAATTATAATAGTTCTGAGAACGGACAAAACTTTATTAATAAGCAGCAAATGAGAACTTACTAGCTCCTTTAGAGAAGCTGACCGAACAGCAATCCTAACAAGAGAACAACTATACAATATACAATGGATCAAAGAGTACTTAAGACTTCTAGAAGAAACTTGAAAGTAAATACCAAGGAGGAAGTTCCAGTAATCAATGCTGAGATTAGGTAAGTTCATAATGGTCATTATTTTATACTTTCAGTAAGCTCTCTTATGATTAATATTCACTACACTTCATGGAGAAAGCCCCCCTCCCTTTCCTTCCCTAAATGGGAGATTTTACTGTTCATCACAGGACTGGCGTGGTACCTGCCCACTCTGATTTCATGGCCACTGGTTTACCAGTTTATGTGCCACCTGAGCTCCAATCTTCTCTCCTTTCTTTCTATCACTACTTTTTACTACCTCACTGCTTATCTTCTCCTATCTATATGAGTGCAGCTAAATCATAATATTAATATAACTACTATCAGTTCATGAAAAAGATCAGAAGAAAAGGCTAAATGAATTTAACTAAAATGAAACTGAAACTCTGTGTGGGCTTCCACAATTTACCTCTCCTTTTCCCCCATTACCATTAAATCACCAAGAATCCTAAAGCAGCAAGGTAGCCATTTGATTATCTGATGTGCTTACCTCCATCATGATAGACACAAGGGCATTGACAAGAACAATGATGAGCATAGTTACACGCCACTGATACGGCACACACACTATCTGTAAGACAAAAAGATTTAAGTTAAAATTGTAGTACGCAGTTAGCATTATATCATAATTTCCAAATTTACTGAAGTCCTATTATGTACCAAGCACCTTCACATACATTATCTACTCAGTCCTCAACAATGCCACAAGGTAGATATTATATCCACTTTTCAGATGATAAAACTCAAAGTATAAGTAACTCAAGGTTAAAAAAAAATACATTAAACTGGCTGAGCTTAGAGTCAAATCCTATTCACTCAGACTCAAAAGCCCTTGTTCTACAAGATCATGAATTTCTAAAAGTCCCTATTTTTAAAATAAAACCCTGTCTTTAAACAATGAGGCAGATACTGATCTAATAATCAAGTATTATTCAAAACTCTACACTGCTATAAATTCATAAAAGAACTACCCAGATCAATTTAAGAAATACAATCTAAGTTTTCACTTTAAAATCTGTGATTAATTTCTAAGGCCTAAAAAATAGATTAAAAAAAATCCCATTAATGCATTCATCCTTTTAGTCAGCAAATATCTGCTGAGTCCCTAAGAGACTGTGCTAGGTGCTGAGCAGAGATATGACCTAATGTCTTAGAGAAACACCTACAACTCCAGCAAGAAGGATCTGAGGGGTGAAGACTGCAACGGGGATCCACGCAGAGACGATGGCAGCCTGATGAGAGTGGTGCATGGCATAATAAGAAACAATATTTGGTCTCCGTTCCTGATTCCTGACACAGAGCTCTCAAAACTCTTGTAATTTCCTGAGTGATGAGGGTTGACAGGAGCATCTTACACAGAGCTTCTAAAGCCCCTGGAATTTCCTGGGTATGAGGAGTGTTTTTTGTTCTAATGAGGCTACTCTTGGTGGGCCCCTGGATAGCTTCAGGATGGGGGCTGGTCACCAGAAAGACTAAGCCACAATTAGAAGTTTGGAACTTTCAGCTCCACTGCCCCATCCTCCAGGGAGGGAAGAGGGGCTGGAGACTGAATTAATAACTGATTGTGCCTATGTGATGATGCCTCCATTAAAAAATCCCTAAACTACCAGGTTTGGAGAACTTCTGGGTTGATCCATGTGCTGGGAGGGTAGTGCATCCCAACTCCACAGGGAGAGAAGCTCCTGCACTCAGGATCCTTCCAGACCTCGCCTATGTACCTCTTTATCTGGCTGGTCACCTGTACCTTTATTATATTCTTTACAATAAACTCGTAAGCATAAGCAAGTGTTTCCCTGCGTTCTTTGCACCATTAAAGCAAATCATCAAACCTGAGAAGAGGGTTGTGGGAACCCTGATTTATAGCTGGTTGGTCAGAAGGACAGGTGACAACTTGGGACTTGCACCTGGCGTCTGAAGTGGAGGGATAGTCTTGTGGGACTGAGCCCTTAACCCGTTGGGTCTGCACTAACTCCACGTAGTTAGTGTGAGAACTGAATTGCAAGGTACCGAGTTGGTGTCCAGAGAATTGGAGAACTGGTTGGTGTGGGAACAACCCCCACACGTTTGGTGTCAGAAGTGTTGTGAGTAGAGGAAACAATAGTTTCCTTTTAGCTAACAAATGGGATTGGAGTAAAAAGAGAAACGGAGATTCAGAAGAAAACTTGAGAATCTAGCAACAGACTGGCTATGAAAAGAGAAGGAAAAAGTAAAGATACATATACACACTTCTGACTTGGATAAATGGTACCAAGAAATAGAGACGAAGCAGGGTTGAGAAAGAACATGATGCGCTTAGTTTTAAAAAAATGTTGAGTGAGGGAATTGATGAGTCAACTATGCATGTAATATTCAGTATGTCAGTGGATATTCAGGTCTAAAGCTCAGTTGAGAGCTAGGCTAAGGATATAAAGGTGGGCGTCTTCAACACATAGATGGCAACTATGGGTGAAGCCATGACTACAGATGAGACCACTAGAATGTACAGAGTAAGACAAAGCATAATTACAGAAATGTGAGGAACACTAACATTCAACGAACAGGCAGAGGGTTTGGAACCACAATGGAGAAGGACAATGAGGAGTCACAGAAGTAAGAAAAAAAATCAGAAGAAAGCAAAGCGGGGCAGGCCCCGTGGCGTAGGAGTTAAGTGCATGCGCTCTGCCGCTAGCAGCCCAGGTTCGGATCCCAGGCGCGCAGCCACGCACTGCTTGTCAGGCCATGCTGTGGCAGCGTCCTATATAAAGTGGAGGAAGATGGGCACGGATGTTAGCTCCGGGCCAATCTTCCTCAGCAAAAAAAAAAAAAAAAAAGAAGTAGGATTGGCATGGATGTTAGCTCAGGGCTGATCTTCCTCACAAAAAAAAAAAAGAAGAAGAAAGCAAAGCATCACAAAATTCCAGGGGGAATGTCTCAAGAATGAAGGCATGGCTAACTTGTCAAATACTGCTGAGGAGTCAAGTAAGACAGCTGGGGGGGGGGGGCGGGAATGAAGGGGACAAGTCCAGTGGACTTAACAAGAAGGTTGTTAATTGTCTTGGCAAGGCAGTTTCAGTAGACTGGCAGGGGTGGAAACCAGAGGGGTGATGGGTGTGTGAGAGGTGAGGTGAATGTGGCACTCTTTCAAGAAATAATTTGGCTGTGAAGCAGAAGACACATGCGGCAGAAGAGAAATATAAATGTTTTGTTTTGTTTTCCTCTTTTGCTTAAAGCGCTTATCCAAATCCCTCAGTGAGGCATGCGCGGAAACAGACACACTCATGCACTGCTGCTAGGATCCTACACTGTCAACCTCTTCAAAGTTCAATAACACAGCATTTATAAAAATTAAAATTGTAGATATTCTGACCAATTCTACTTCTGCATATTTAACCTCTAAATATATATTTATCCTTCTTAATGAAGTGTGTAAGAATTTGCAATATAGCATTGTTTATAATAGCAAAACACTGGAAATAACCTAAATATCCAAAAGGGATTAATTAAATTATGGAAAAGTCCACAAAATGGAATACTCATTCCATAAAGCTCATATAACTTTCATATGCAAACCTGTCAATAATGTACAAGAAAGGAAAATTAAGTCTGATCTCACTCATGCAATCAGAAGCAAAAATCCTAAACGAAATCACAGCAAACCAAATCCAGAGGTTATAAAAAAGAATGCATCACGACCAAATTGGATTTATTCTAGGAATGCAGTGTTAGTTCAACAATTGAATATCAGTCAACTGTAATTCACTATAGTCTCCAGGGAGGAAAACCATGTGATCATTTCAATAGCTGAAGCAAAAACATCAGATAAAAGTAAACATCTATTTATGTTAACAACACTATAGAAAGAAGCTTCCTCAACCTGATAAAGAGTATACACCAGAAACCTACAGCCCAGAATGTATCCAATGGTGAAATAATAGGAGCACATCCTTTAAAGTCAGGAGCAAGATAAGCTACCACTATCATTACAACCAACATTAACATGGTTAATAGACAAGAAAAATACATAGAAGGTATAAGGACTTAAACGTCAGAAACAAAACCTTTGTTGTTATTTATAGATGATGACTGTCTAAAAGAGAAAATCCTAGAGAATCTAAAAATTTAATAAAATTTGACAAAGCTGCTGGATACGAGATGAATATTCAAAATAACCGCACTGTTTACACCAGCATAAAAGAATTAGAAAATGTAATATGAAACAGATACTTATCAGAGGAACAAAAACTATAATACTCCAGGAATAAATCTAACAGAAACTTGTATAAAAACCTTTAGAGAGAAAACTGTCACACCTTACTGAAAGCCAATGAAGAAGATCTAAAGAAAGATAAAGAGATATTGTTCATGGAAAGGGAGACTAAATCAATTCTCCCAAATTTATTTATAAACCCAGTGTAATTCTAATAACAATTCCAAGAAAGCTTTTCCTAATACTTGACAAGCTAAACTTTAAATTTATACGGAAGAGGAAAAGCTCAAGAACAGTCAAAAAGATCATGATGAACAACAATGTGAGGTGGGGATATGGGTCCTGCCCAACCATATATCAATATTTCCTATAAAATCATAGTAATTTGGACAATGTGGTACTAAAGAAGAAAATGTAGAGCCCATAACAGCTTGATAGTTATATATATGGAAAACTGATAGAGGACAGAAGTATCACTGAAGGATCAGTGGGGAAAGATGAGACTATTCAATAAATAATGCTGAAACAAATGGGTATTCAGGAAGAAAACAAAGACATTTGATCCCCATCTCAAAGGCCATACATAAAATTAATTCCAGATGGATTAAAGACTAACTATGAAAGAGGAATATCTTTATAACCCTGAGATAGACAAGTCTGCCAAACTAAGATGTAAAAGCACAGAATATAAAGAAAACAATTGTTAAGCTTGACTATTGTAAAATTATAAATTTGTTTTTTAAAAAGATATTATAAACAAAGCAAAAGGACAAGCCACAAACTGGAAAAAGATATTTATCACATATATAGCCAAAACATTAGGAATTCCTAAAAATAAGTAAAAGACAACATCCTAATAGAAAAATGGGCAAAAGGCACGAATAGGCAATTCACAGAGGAAACAAACAAGGCCAATAAACATATGAAAAATGCTCAATGCCATCAGCAATTTAAAATTAATGTAATTAGCAAATTAAAACCATCATGATATAACATTTTACATCCATTAGACATTTTACATCCATGCCATTGTTGGCAATGATGTAGAAAAAGAGATCTCATACACTGACGGAAGTATAAATTGGGACAAGCACTTTGGAAAACAACTAGGCACATCTTAGAAAGCTGAAGAGTGCATGCTCAGAATTACACTAGCATACACCAGAGGAACCTTTTGCCCCTAGTGATGTACCAAGTACTGGAAGGAGTATTTTACCTCTGACACTGTTTAGAATTCCCAGCACATGGTATTTAGCAGGAGCTGGACTTGTAGTGGGCTTTACTGATGTTTTTAAATTCTCTACAGCAGTGCATCACCCCTTTGTTGCTTGTACCTGGGATGTACTACCCCCATCCCTATTCTTTGGTTCGCCATTACTCACTCCCATACAGTAAGAGACATGGACAAGAATGTTCATAGCAGCACTGTTAATACAGGAAAAGACTATAAACAACCCAATTATTTACCAGTGAGAATGGAGAAATGAATTCTAGTATATTCCTATAGTGGAATACTATATAGCAGTGAGATGTATCAACATGTATCAACATGGACGAATCTTAGAAACAATGCTAATGGGAAAAAGCAAGTCACAGAAAAATAGATAGCAGGATAGCATTTTCATAAAGTTCAGAAGCAAGCAAAATTATCTTTCATAACATTATACATATATGGTAAGTGTATAATGAAAAGCAAGACAATGGGGTAAAAAATTAGATTAGTGCTTCCCTCACGGTGTTTGGAGAAAGGTGCACAACAGTGCCTTGCTGGTGTTGATAATGCTACCTTTTTTTAGGTTGGATGAACGACTCATGGGTGTTATTTTATCACTACTATGCTTAACAACTTAAATATCTGTGCATATTCTTTTGTATAAAACAAGTATTTTATCATTCATAAAGTTTTTAATGAAAAGAATAATGAAGGGGCCGGCCCGGTGGCGCAAGCGGTTGGGTGCGCGCGCTCCGCTGCGGCGGCCCGGGGTTCGCTGGTTCGGATCCCGGGCACGCACCGCCGCACTGCTTGGCAAGCCATGCTGTGGCGGCGTCCTATATAAAGTGGAGGAAGATGAGCACAGATGTTGGCCCAGGGCCGTCTTCCTCAGCAAAAAAAAGAGGAGGATTGGCGGATGTTAGCACAGGGCTGATCTCCTCACAAAAAAAAAAAAGAAAAGAAAAGAATAATGAAGAATTCAATGGACAGTGAAAAAGAGGCAGCACGTGCAGACTACTCGAGGAGTAGGTAGATAAGGGACAGATCAAATAACAGGATCCAAGTTTCTTATTTTTTAAAGACTGAGAAGCATTTGTGTATAGACAAAGGGAAATGGAACTAGAAGCAAAGATTGAAGAAACAGGAAAGAAAAATAGAGTCAATAAAAGCTGCTGCTGTTTTGATTATATTCTTCATTATTTTTAGGATATCTTTGGGTTAATATAACTGCATCTTAGAAAACTGAAGGGCCGGCCCCATGGCTTAGC